GGGCGGCGGGCGCGGGCCGAGCGCGGGGAGCGAAGCCGGCGGGAGGCGGCGGCGCCCGCGGGCCCATGGAGCTGGAGAACATCGTCGCCAACACCGTCCTGCTCAAGGCCCGCGAAGGTGAGCGGCGCCGGGCACCGGAGCTGGCGAGGCGACAGGCCCGGGCTGCGGGCCCCGGCGGTGCCGCCCCGGGGCTCGGCCCGGGCGGTCCCTCCCGGGACGTCGCGGCCTCCTTGGCGGGGAGCGGGGAGGTGACGGCGCGGGCTGGACACAGGCATTCGGCTCCTCCCGCCCGGCGCGGGGTGCTGTGCTCGCTCCGAGGGCGCTGAGCTCTCTCCCGAGCGGCCTCGCCGTCTCTCCGGTGCAGATCGCCCCATCTCYGTCCCGCCTTGCCCGCTCCAGAGGCTGCTCCAGCTCCTCTGGCACAGGGGAGAGGCAACTTTGGGTTCCGTAGGAGAAAAAAAAGTTGCTTCAGTCCCGTAAACTGCTGCTCCCCACACACGGGCCGATCCCGAAACTGCGGCGGGGAGCCCCACCCGTCCGCCGCCCTCACACCGGGGTCTGCGGGGCTCCCGGAGCTCTGCTGCGGCCTCACAGCGCTCCCACTGCCCCAGGGCCACGCCGAATTCCAGGGCCGGGGCGTGGGATGCAGCTTGGCAGCAGCGGGGCTRTCCTGAAGATGCAGGGGAGCTGCGGGGAGAAGCCTCAGGAGGGGATGGGAAGTCTCACATAGGAACCTGGTCCTTTTGCAGAGAAGATGCGCTTCAGCCAGGCATTGATGAGTTCTTTAGGTCACRTATGTGGTGGRGGARTACAGTCTCCTCTGGCCCTTGGTGKGCAACTGGCCAGACCGAGCYGTCCTGGAGCCTGAGAGACCCRCTGAAATCCAGTTAGAKRGCTTTGAAGATTAGATTTGTGGGAGCAAAAAGCAGCGAAATTAAATTTACAYGGGCAGAAACATTTCCAAGCTGCTTGAAAACCAGGCTAAGTGTAAGTACTCCTGGCACAGTGACCGTGGTGGACCATGACGTTCAGGTTCATAGTGGCAAGGTTTGGTTCAAAACCAAACGGGGGTTTGTGACCTCCAGGCACGAGGCCCACATTCACGTGGAATGATCTGGAGAGTGGCTCCCGTTGTGCCCTCGGGAATGGAGTTTGGGCACTGATGCAGCACGAGGTGCTGGACAGCTGCTGCGGTCCCTCCCGTGCTCCGCTGGTGCCTCTCCCTCGGCAGCAGTGGGCAGTTTGCAGGCAGACACAACCCACTGTCACCCTTGTGCCGAGTGGTTTTTGGCTGTGAGAGCCAAGGTGTTCTTGCTGGCTATCCCACTTGTAGCTGGGTGGCCACTGGGGCAAGGAAGCTCCTCTGTGACAGGACAGAGCTGTTTTGCAGGCCACATCTGACAGTGCTGGGTTCTTTGCTCCAGCCTGGCCTTTCTCTAGCTTCCTGAGTTGGTGTGGGAATGCAGAGGTGAGCTGGAATGTGCTGAGGGGCTGCTGGCAATCATCTTCAGCTGCTGCCACAGCACGAACGTGCCCCATGCTTGGTCTGGCCCGGGGAAGGTGAAGGATCCTTGTCCCCCTTGCCCTGACAGAAGAACAACAGCCCAGCTCTCATCCATCACCCAAACTGGTGAGCTCAGGTTGGAGACAGCCCACCCCATCCCCAAACCAGGG